ATGTATTTGTCTCTATAAACGATGAACTTGTTGTATTAAACCAGCGACGTACAAAACGCAGCTGTTTTTCCCTTAGTTAGAAACGTACGAATACATCGCATTTTGAACGCATTAGTTGACTACGTTACAAATACGACGTATTGAGCTGAGAATACCACATGAGGACGGAGTTTTGAACTTTGATAACGTCGGTGAACATTACGTGTTAATACTGACCAATGCGGCACATTTTTAACGTATTTGTGAATTTGAATTTTTGTGTTGTTCAATTATGTAAACAATACAGGTAAAATTAGGTAAATTTATTGTTATACAATGACGAGTGTTGTATAATGATACACTACTGTATGAGGACCTCGGTAGTATAGTCTCCAGACCCGGGTTCGATCCCCCCAGTCTTGGGTGGATGGTAATTTTACCTTAATAATATACTCAGTCCGGGGATCGATGCTCACCCCGCGGCCCGGTCTCTCAATTGGTAGTGAAATGATATTATAATGTATAATGATAATTATTAAAGTTTCCAGTCACCTCATGCACCTCTTCACCCAGCAGTGAGGAGTTAGTGAGCGTGTTGAGGGAGTTGTATCCTGGGGGGGGGGGGAACTTGATATAAGGCTACCGTGTGTGTGTGTATATATATATACTCTGGCAGCCTGTCCCCCGGTGGATTTGAATTAATTACAAGTAACGGAAGGTTTAATATAATTTTTTATATATTTAGAACTAAACAATCCTGCACGTAGCATCGGTGGTTCAGTGGTAGAATTCTCGCCTGCCACGCGGGAGGCCCGGGTTCGATTCCCGGCCGATGCACATTTTTTCCACTCGTTTGTGTCATATATATGTACATACATATTTTGTATATATATACAAATTAATAAATATATATTATATCCAATGCAGATACAATCTAAATTTAATAAAATATATATTGTAACATTTGAGAATTTTTCTCAAATTATTAATACAGTAACATTATTTTTAGGAGGTTTTATATTACCTGTTTACCATATTTATTTACTTTATATACAAGAAGGAAGATATGGTTTATGAGAGCACATAGCATTGGTGTTTTACATGGTTGTAAAGCCTCTAACACACAGTGTTTCGGGTCCTTAATCTATATGATCATTATAACTAGGTTAATTGTAGCAGGATTTGAAGAATATTTACCAGTAAATTGTAAGAAAATTTGAAGAAAATTAATAGGTACATTGTAGTAAAATTTGAGGATTATCAACAGGTCTATTATAGCATAACTTGATAATTAATAAGTACATTGTAGTCATATATGCGTTCAACATAACAATAATATATGATATAAATGATTACAATGGTAAAGTTGTATGGCTTAGGTACATATATTGGGGGAGTGGGCAGCACTAGATACAGTGTGAGTCTGAAGCACAAGGCAGGAAACTATGAGGATGATATTAAAGACTTTTTGTACCAATGACTTCCATGTTTTTGGTTTTGAATAAGGCAAAAGTTGGACAGGTTTTCAATTCGTTAGGGAGTGAGTTCCATAGACAAGGTTCTTTTATTTGTATAGAGTGTTTACACAGATATAGTTTGACTCTGGGGATATCAAATATATGTATTTCTGGTGTGGTGATTATGTGCTCTATTACAACTGTCCAGGAAGAGTTTCAGATCAGGGTTTGCACGTAGGGTTTTGTACATGTAAATGACACAAGAGAATGTGTGGAATGAGTTCATGTTCAGCATGTTTATGGATTTAAAGAGAGAGGCTGAGTGTTGTCTGAAGACAGTTTATTTTGGTCTGATAGTAGATTTTTGTAGTTTGTGTTACATTGTGGCTTGTTGAGCTTGACACTGTTGTTCCTTGTTTGTGTTACATTGTGGCTTGTTGAGCTTGTCACTGTTGTTCCTTGTTTGTGTTACATTGTGGCTTGTTGAGCTTGTCACTGTTGTTCCTTGTTTGTGTTACATTGTGGCTTGTTGAGCTTGTCACTGTTGTTCCTTGTTTGTGTTACATTGTGGCTTGTTGAGCTTGTCACTGTTGTTCCTTGTTTGTGTTACATTGTGGCTTGTTGAGCTTGTCACTGTTGTTCCTTGTTTGTGTTACATTGTGGCTTGTTGAGCTTGTCACTGTTGTTCCTTGTTTGTGTTACATTGTGGCTTGTTGAGCTTGTCACTGTTGTTCCTTGTTTGTGTTACATTGTGGCTTGTTGAGCTTGTCACTGTTGTTCCTTGTTTGTGTTACATTGTGGCTTGTTGAGCTTGTCACTGTTGTTCCTTGTTTGTGTTACATTGTGGCTTGTTGAGCTTGTATATAACACCCACTGTCCTATGCTTACAAAACAAGTCACAACCAAAAGGCTTAACAATCCCTGGCCTTACAAAGGGAATACTTAAATCCATTAATAAAAAACATGACCTTGAGAAGAAGTATAGGTTAGGAATTGTCTCCAAAGAATTCTCAAAGAATTACTCATTATTGCTATCTAAGATAATTAGACGAGCCAAAACTAAATACTACGAAGATAAATTTACCCAAATAAAGAGCAACATTAAAAAAACTTGGTGCACAATTTCACAAATATTGGGATCAAAGAAGACTTTAAATAACAAACCAACACTCCTGTCCAATAACGATGGTCAGCTTTCAGCCTCTGATTCTGCTATTGAGTTCAATAGGTTCTTCTCTTCCATTGGGTCATCCCTTGCAAATGATATTCCATCTTCCAGTACTGACGTTAAGGACTATCTTACAGGTAACTATCCACAGTCTCTGTACCTAAAGCCTATTAATTCCACTGACGTCAATGAGATAATCCTTTCCCTTAAAACCAAGTCTGGTGCCCTTCAGGAGATACCAACTTTAATTTACAAAAAAGCCTCCAGATCTTTAGCCCCTGCTATTGCTTTGCTCTTCAACAAGTCACTTGAACTCCAAACCTTTCCAGATATTCTAAAAAAAGCGAGAGTAACGCCTGTCCACAAATGTGGTGAGCTCACAGATGTTAACAACTACAGACCTATATCTATCCTGCCAAACTTGTCAAAAAATTTTGAAAAACTAATCTATAAGCAGCTTTACTCTTATCTAGCCAAACACAATATACTTAGCCCTTGCCAATATGGCTTCAGACCCAAAAAAAGCACTAACGATGCACTTATTAGTATGCTTAACTCGATTCATACAGCTCTCGATAAAAATGAGTTCCCTGTTGGGTTATTTGTGGACCTGCGTAAGGCTTTTGACACTGTCAACCACCAAAACCTTCTTCTTAAATTACATCATTATGGAGTCAGAGGACACTCCCTGCAATACCTCAAATCCTACCTTACTGACAGGCTCCAGTATGTTTCTGTGAATAATTCAATTTCTCCCACCCTACCCATCAACATTGGTGTTCCTCAGGGCAGCATACTTGGCCCTCTCCTCTTTCTCATCTACATTAATGACCTTCCAAATGCCTCCCAACACCTCAAACCAATTCTATTTGCTGACGACACAACCTTCATTTACTCCAGTCCTGACCCCCTTGATCTAAATGCCACAGTAAATACTGAGCTAAATAAAGTCCATCTTTGGCTAACTGCCAACAAACTCACCCTTAACATTGACAAAACTTTCTATATTCTGTTTGGCAATAAATCCTCTAATCAAATAAATCTCAGAATAAACAATACCCAAATTTGTAACAAATTAGATGGCAAATTCCTTGGCATTCTCATTGACCACAAGCTGAATTTCCAGGGACACATTCTAAATATATCAAAAAAAGTTTCAAAAACTGTTGGCATTCTTTCTAAGATCAGATATTATGTACCTCGCCCTGCCCTGGTGACTCTATTACTCCCTTATCTATCCATATCTCAACTATGGTATTTGTGCTTGGGGCTCTACTACCCAAAATCATTTACGTCCTCTAATTACTCAACACAAAGCTGCTATTAGGACAATATCCAACTCTGGCCCCAGACATCACTCGGTACCCCTACTCAAATCTCTGAATATGTTAGACATTAAGTCACTGCACATTCTCTCATGTGTATTATACATATATAAAACGCTAAACTATAATGCCAATCCTGACCTCAAAAGCTTCATAGAAGGTTGTAACAGAACCCATGAGCACCACACCAGAAATAAATACAGTTTTGATATTCCTAGCGTACGACTTAATCAAACTAGAAATGCTCTACAAATCAAGGGACCCAGATTGTGGAATGACCTTCCCAACCATGTTAAAGACTGTACCTCTCTCAACCAGTTTAAGTCAAAAACGAAGCTATACCTAATAAATTCCCTGTAACCTACCTTACCCCTCCATTGTTAACCAATGTCTGTTTTTTTTTTTTAAAGAGCGCTGTTTGTCGACAGAATTGTATTTGTGCTGCTTTTTCAGCTATGTTTTCATTCCATGTTTTCCTTTTACTCTTTATGCTCAATTAGTATTAAGCTTTAGTCATTTAAGTTTTTCATGCCCGAAACGCTTTGCGTAATAGTGACTTTAGGCATTGTATGTACTAGCTCTACCTATAAATCCATCACTCTATGTAAATTCTCTTGTATGTATGTACCTTACCTAAATAACCATTTGATTTGATTTGATTTGATTTGTCACTGTTGTTCCTTGTTAGTGTTACATTGTGGCTTGTTGAGCTTGACACTGTTGCTTCTTAGTGGCCATCAGGTAAATTCAGGCAAGTATCAGGGAACTGCCTACCCGCTCAAGCCGTAAATTCCAAGAAATTTAAATTTTTAAGCCAAACTGGAAAAAAGTTCATCAGGACAAATAAGGGGGGACCTTCGACAAGCCACCGGCTTCCTGTCCTCGTCGAGGCCACTAGTGTTAGTGACCCTCGGGTAAATTCAGGCAAATAACAGGCTGGAACCGCCTACCCGCCAAAGCGTAAATTCCAAAAAACTTTTAAATTTTCAAGTCAAACTGGAAAATATTCTCAGGATAAATGAGGAGGGACCTTTAACAAGCCGACGGCTTCTTGTCCTGGTCGAGGCCACTTGTTCTCAGGTAAATGATGGTGAGCTTGGAGGAGGAGGGTCAGTACCGCCAGGACGCCGGCCCGGACTGTCCTGCCTCCCACCACATTACCCCAGGCCTCCTAACCCAGGCCTCCTAGCCCAGGCCTCCTGGGGCACCCTAACGCTGCTCTAAGGTTAGTGACCCTTGAGTACTCACCAGCGGTAGTGACCCTTGAGTACTCACCAGCGGTAGTGACCCTTGAGTACTCACCAGCGGTAGTGACCCTTGAGTACTCACCAGCGGTAGTGACCCTTGAGTACTCACCAGCGGTAGTGACCCTTGAGTACTCACCAGCGGTAGTGACCCTTGAGTACTCACCAGCGGTAGTGACCCTTGAGTATTTACCAGTTAGTGACCTTAGAGTACGTGTAAACCTCGCCTGGGAACCCATAACAAGGTACACTACCGGCCTAGGGTGCTCACCAGCCGTAGTGACCCTAGAGTACCAGGATATATATATATAGAGTACATATATAGTACCAGGATATATGTACAGAGGACATATATACTCCTGGCTTAAGAGTGTCCACAGTACCAATAGTCAACACAGGAGTAAAGGGTCTTATGAATTTAAGTTGTCAAAACCGTAGTATAGGATTGGGTTAGGCTGTGTTAGGCCCGCTTGGGTTAGCTTAAGTTAATTTGTGTTAGCTTCAGTAAGATTAACCATTAATATCTGTTGTGTATGATATGGCTTATTCTCTCTCCTAGTTCTAGGTCGCCCACCTGGGACATTTTAATTCTTATTTTGATTTGTGTGTATGTTATGATAGGTTATCTTGAGGTTATCTTGAGATGATTTCGGGGCTTTAGTGTCCCCGCGGCCCGGTCCTTGACCAAGCCTCCACCCCCAGGAAGCAGCCCGTGACAGCTGACTAACACCCAGGTACCTATTTTACTGCTAGGTAACAGGGGCATAGGGTGAAAGAATCTCTGCCCATTGTTTCTCGCCGGCGCCTGGGATCAAACCCGAGACCACAGGATTACAAGTCCAGCGTGCTGTCCGCTTGGCCGACCGGCTCCCGGTTAGGCTAGGTTATGATGTGATAGAATGGGTTAGGTTACCTGATTTAACTTGAGGGCCACCATCTCTAGTGGTTTTGACGAGGACAGTCTGCCGGCAGCTTGTCAAAGGTCCCGGATTTGTCCGGATGATTTTATCCAGCTGGATTTTGAATTGCAGCAATGTCTAGGGATGTGGCTTCGGCGGGTAGGAGGTTCCATGGGTTAATACCACCAGTCTCCATGGTGTAGTGGTAAGACACTCGCCTGGCGTTGCGCGAGTGCTTTGACCTGGGTTCGTATCCTGGCCGGGGAGGATTTACTGGGCGCAAATCCTTAACTGTAGCCTCTGTTTAACTCAACAGTAAAATGTGTACTTGGTTGTAACAACGATTCTTCGCGGCAGGGGATCGTATTCCAGGGACCTGCCCGAAACGCTACGCGTACTAGTGGCTGTATAACACTGTAACAACTCTTGTATATATCTCAAAAAAATAAAAATATCCCTGTGGGTGAAGAAGGAGCTCCTGTTCTCAGTCCTACATTGTGGCTTGTTGAGCTTGTCACCATTGTTCCTTGTTTGTGTTACATTGTGGCTTGTTGAGCTTGACACTGTTGTTCCTTGTTTGTGTTACATTGTGGCTTGTTGAGCTTGACACTGTTGTTCCTTGTTTGTGTTACATTGTGGCTTGTTGAGCTTGTCACTGTTGTTCCTTGTTTGTGTTACATTGTGGCTTGTTGAGTTTGACACTGTTGTTCCTTGTTTCTGTTACATTGTGGCTTGTTGAGCTTGTCACTGTTGTTCCTTGTTTGTGTTACATTGTGGCTTGTTGAGCTTGTCACTGTTGTTCCTTGTTTGTGTTACATTGTGGCTTGTTGAGCTTGTCACTGTTGTTCCTTGTTTGTGTTACATTGTGGCTTGTTGAGTTTGACACCGTTGTTCCTTGTTTGTGTTACATTGTGGCTTGTTGAGTTTGACACTGTTGTTCCTTGTTTCTGTTACATTGTGGCTTGTTGAGCTTGTCACTGTTGTTCCTTGTTTGTGTTACATTGTGGCTTGTTGAGCTTGACACTGTTGTTCCTTGTTTGTGTTACATTGTGGCTTGTTGAGCTTGTCACTGTTGTTCCTTGTTTGTGTTACATTGTGGCTTGTTGAGCTTGTCACTGTTGTTCCTTGTTTGTGTTACATTGTGGCTTGTTGAGTTTGACACCGTTGTTCCTTGTTTTGTGTTACATCTCTCCTTTTGACAAAATTGTCTGGATCAACTTCCTGTAAATTGTTCAGTATTGTACTGTATTTTAAAAGTTTTGATAAGTTCCGCCCTGTCATGCCTGGTTTGCAGTGTTAGGCCTGTGGCCCTCAGTCGTTCCTGGTTCGAGAGTTGACTTAGTTCTGGAATGATTTTTGTTGTCCGGTGTTGTACTTTCTCCAGAGCATCTATATCCTCCTGAAGATGATGTCTCCATGCTTGGATACAGTAATCCAAGTGATGGTGCACCAGAGATTTATACAGTTGAATAACTACGCTTGAGATACGCTTGATTATTCCTTGGGTTTAGTTAGCTTTTTTGTTTTTTTCCTGTAGCTCACACTTGCTGTGTAATGTTTAGGTTAGGTTAGGTTAGGTTAGATTAGATTAGATTAAGGTTAGATAAGTTTAGGATAGGATATACTGTACAGTATTAGGTTTGTAAAATATGTGACAAAAGTATAAGTTGTCAACATAAATTGTAAACAGAAATATTAAGTATTGACATTGTTTAAAGTATTAACAGAATGTCTCACCTTCATTGTGTAATAACATAAATACGTTGTCATTGTCTTGCAAGAAGCTTGTTATTTGCTTATCGTTATAATTTATTTCAAGATGTACAGATATATTGTAAGAGCAGATGATGAGTCACACTGACATGGCCAAAAATATGATGACCAACCACACAACAGAAGATGAGGAGACAACGACATTTCAGTCAGTCCTGGATCATTATCAAGTCAATTGTGTATGGTCCATAGTCGACTTGATACTGGTCTAGGACGGTCCGAAACGTTGTCGTCTCCTTGTCTTCTGGTGTGTGGTTTGGGCATCGAGTTAATGTATAATTTCTGCAGAGGTCTGATTAAGACCTTTTAAACCTTGTGTAATCTTTTATTATTATATGATTTTTCTTTAATTTTATCTATATACTGTATGCAAGTGTTCTACATTATCGTAAAGCCACTATCACGCTAAGCGTTTCATGGAGGCCCTTAATCCTAATTTTCCTTGGAATACGACCTGCCAAATCATTTAACAACCAGGTATCCATTCACTGCTCTGTGAACAGAGGCTACAGTTAAGGATTGGCACCCGGTCAATCTTTCCCGGCCAGGATACAAACCCAGGCTGAAGCGCTCGCGAAGCACTGGGCGAGTGCTTTACCACTGCGCCAGAAGGACTGCATCTTTCTGTGTTACCACATATTCAAGTGGACTCGAAGTGTTAGCTGAATTCAGCGCAAGTATGTTTACCTAAATTTTACCTGAGGGGCTGCCATCTCTAGTGGTCTCAATAGGAAGAGGAAGGTGGCAGCATGTTGAAGGACCCTCCATATTATTCCTGAATGGAGAGTGGTTCTGTACCATTAGCTGATGACACTGTATTGATGTTTCTGCCTTTATCTTGCTGGCCCACAACTAGTAATATCATTCATGAACAGCAACTGCTGAAATGATATGGTTCATTTCAGAGCTAAAATGTAGAGGATACAGTAAATACACAGGTACAGTATGTCATTTGGTTTAATATTTAATTCAGTTCCTGTTGTCTGGACAGTTAGGCTGTATTGTACTGAGGCTAATTGAGGTTATTTCCCATCTAGGCCACCTATTGATCTTTCCTAGGATACAAGCCACAACAATTACCAAATTCTCAGGTACATGTTTAAACTGCTAGGTGATCAGAGGCATCAGGTGAAAGGAAACATGACGAGTCTTTTTTGTTCTGTCTGGGTATTGAGCCTGGGTCCCTTAGCTACAAGCTGAGGGCATAGACCACTTCCAGTTATTGAAATCATAGATGTAAAAGTTGTGTAACTTGACAGTACTGTAATTGGGATATGGCCTTTGAATTATTAGTACAGTACAGTAGTTCCTAGGACAGTTCGTTGTTGCCTTCAACCTCGTTCTGACAGTTCCTGCGACAATGCTGGAACCAATCGTATTGGCGTTTGCTTTTCCGTTGGAGACTTTTGGCGCCGCGGAGAGGGGGGATCTGCTGCATGGGTAGCAGCTTTTTCCCTGTATCAACCTACCCTGGCTTTGTGCCCTGGAGAGGCCACTCTAGCCCGACAACCAAAGCACGACTCCATAGTCTCCTGAGACTGATGAATGCCTACTACTACTACAGTTAATAGTGACCTGGCAGCATGTCACTCTTATTTTACAGGTTTATGCAGGTTTGAATGTTTTTTGTATTTAATATGAAATATGTACCAGGTACAGAATAGCCAAATATATTGACCTTCTATATTTGAACTATTTTATTCAATTGCAAGCAATTCCTGGCGGCATAGTGGTAGCACAGTCAGCCCACACCTTGTGACCAATTTTGTCTGTTAAATCATTAAGTTTGGCCCTGTTTACCCAGCAATAGTTGGGGACCTGGTTGTTTACTAATTGGCGGGTCATGTTCCAGGGTAAACAATTAGGGTCAGGGTTAAGGTGAGCTGTAAGAAGGGAAAGCTCCAAGAGTGCTAAAAGGAGTCGAAAATCGTCTACAGGTCATATTTCCAGGAAAAACTAGTAGGGTTTGGCTTAAGATAACCTGCTGACAGTGGTGTTATATGAATCCAGATAAATTCAGGTAAATATCATTTAAGAATAATATCACACTCTAACAGGAAGCATAAAACTGCATTTATTGGGGCTAAATTTAAAATGGGTATTGTTTGTTTTTCAGAAAGTCATTATGCCGCCAAAGAAAAAGGGAAAATGGGTTCCACGTTTTCAACGTGGATCTCAGGCAAAAAGGCAGGCACAAATGAAAAAAGCACTAGAAAAGAAGAAAGTACAACTCCGCGAGCAGTTCCCGGTATCTAATGGTGCTCCACATCGAGAAAAAGGTACATTTTGATGGACATACCAGTGTGTAGATTGTTAAGTGTGTGTGTGTGTGTATATATAATGTGTATGTTACTATGTATGAATTATATATGTACTGTACTATTTGAGTCTGGACTATGGCTAAGATTCATTAAGCATTTATGTGTCTACTTAGGATGCTTGTACGTCTTCCCTGGCAGCCTTGTCTGTATCTATTAAACTGCTGACGAGGATTGGAAACACTGCCTGGTCTTATTGTTACACACAACCTCAGCACGTTGGAGCTCAAAAGCTGTTATAATGAATGCAAACTAAGCCACCATAACGGAGGATAGATGTACAGTACAGTAGTGATTTTATAAGTAGACATACCTGCTTGATACCTGCTTGATAACCTGGTTGATGGGGTTCTGGGAGTTGTTCTACTCCCCAAGCCCGGCCCGAGGCCAGGCTCGACTTGTGAGAGTTAGGTCCACCAGGCTGTTGCTTGGAGCGGCCCGCAGGCCCACATACCCAACCACAGCCCGGTGCCTGGTTGACATTGGTTGAATCCCAGCCTGTATCTCTTACATTTGGAAAAATAGGACAAATGGATGGAATGGGGTTTTATTATTTATTATTTCATTATTATTTTATATGCATGGAATATGTCCAATGGGTCAACAATTATCATTCACAAAAGAAGAGAAGAGGTTTTCTGTCCATGATCACAAGGCAAATGGTATTGAGAGGAAGAGAGAGATGGTACTCCATACTTGTGACACCTTGTATAGTGTGTGTGTGTGTATTTGTACAATGTACAGAGATACCTTGTATAGTGTTTGTACAATGTACTGAGATACATTGTATAGTGTGTGTGTGTTTGTACAATGTACAGAGATACCTTGTATAGTGTTTGTATAATGTACAGAGATACATTGTATAGTGTGTGTGTGTGTGTACAATGTGCAGAGATACCTTGCATAGTGTGTAATTGCCTAAGTGTAGATACAGGATGAGAGCTACGCTCGTGGAGTCCCGACTTCCCAGTACTCTTTGTCGTACTGTATAATGCTTTGAAACTACTGACGGTTTAGGCCTCCTCCACCTTCTTACTTAACTTGTTCCAACCATCTACCACTCTGTTTGCAAAAGAAAACTTAATAATTTTTTTTGGGCACCTTTGTTTCCTTATTGGAAAACTTGAATGTGTGTCCTCTTGGTCGTGAAGTTGCTGGTTTCAGGAATTCCTCTTTGTTAATTTGGTTCCATTCCTGTTAGTATTTTGTAAGTGGTGATCATATTTCCTCTTTTGCTTCTATCTTCTAGTTTTGGCATGTTTAACGCCTCCAGTCTCTCCTCGTAACTCTTGTTTTTCAGTTCTGGAAGCCATTTTGTAGCATCCCTTTGCACCTTTTCCAGTTTATGTGCTTCTTGAGATTTGGGCACCATACAACTGCTGCACATTCCAGTTTTGGTCGCAAAAGTCATGAACAGTTTCTTTAGTATTTCACCATCCACATGATGAAAAGCAAGTCTGAAGTTGGAAAGTGATGCTTACGCTCCTCTGGCAATGTTCTTTGTGTGTGCCTCTGGTGACAGCTTACTATCCAAAACCACCCCCCTTCTTGAGATTCTTGACATGATTTTGGGGCCCTAGTGTCCTTGGTCCTTGACCAGGCCTCTTTTTCGTTACACACCCTCAGGAAGCAGCCTGTAGCAGCTGTCTAACTCCCAGGTACCTATCTACTTTTAGATGAACAGAGGCATCAGGGTGAAAGAAACTCTTGCCCATTTGATTCCGCCTCCACCGGAGATTGAACCCGGAACCTCAGGACTACGAATCCAAAGCGCTGTCCACTCGGCTGTCAGGCCCCTGTAAGCCCCTAGGTCTCGTTCTTCATTAGAATTCTGTAATTCCTTTCCACATACAGTAATTCATAAGTTGTGTGTAGTCTATTTTCTCTGATTCCACATTCCATAACATGGCATTCATTCACATTGAATTCCATTTGCTACTTGTTGCTCCACGCACCCTTTTTATCTAGATCAGTTTGAAGGGCATTACAATCGTCTGCATCTCCTATCTTTCCCAGTATCTTAGCATCATCCGCAAACATGTTCATATAAATCTGTATTCCTTCTGGTAGATTGTTTATGTAGACGACGAACATCACTGGTGGAATGTGAACCCTGTGGTACTCCGCTAGCAACACTCCTCCAGTCAGATACACTGTCTCTCATTACTGCCCTCATCTGTTTCTCAGTTAAAAAAGCACAATAAAATTACAAGAATGTGATATACTAGTACAGCATCTGGGATGTTCAGGGACGCAAGTTTGATCTTATCATACAGCTTCAAAATATTCTGAAGATAAGGTATCTCAATATTGCTGAAAGTTCTAATTTGATGATGAAAGAGTGTGGCCAGGAAGTGAGAAGGCTGCCAGAAGAGTGTGGGATTAACACTGTTTAAATAGATAGTAGTGTAAAGATTTTAAAGATCCTCAATAGAGTGAGTTCTGGTGGCAAAGAAAATGAAACAAAATTACTCGGTGGCTCGTAAAAAATTGAGAACAGTTATAAAAAAAAAACATATTTTCAATCAGTGGGCTTTTATAATGCATGTGTACACTACACATTTTGTTTTTCACGAAATCAAGAACGCTAAAAATGTGGTAGATGTTGATATGCGTTGCGTCCAGATTTCCAAGACTCACTGCAAGGGAATTAAAACTGAATTTTAATTATATATTTTCAGGCAGTAACTACCATTTCTTCTTTTCAGAAAAAGCTCAGGGCGCTACACAAAAAGACACATGGCCACAGACCAAGCAGTTGGCAAGTCGTCTGCTTAAACCCTGGGTACACAGTAAACCCCTCTTTAAACGACCAACATGGGGACAGAGTAACCATCTCTTCAGTCGGCCAACAAATTCTTGGGAACAGAGTACCTCACTTTCAAGTCGATTGTTACAGAACTCGGGGCAGAATCCTCTGTCATCCAGCCGCTCATCGCAAACTTTTGGACAATATAGTAATTTGTCAAGTCAAATGAGAGAAGCTTTTGAGGACAGTTACTCACTTCGATCACCGCTGTCCTGGAAAGATAGTTGTTTGTCAAATCGATCAGCACAACCTCCATGGGAACAGAATAGATCATCCCAGCCACCATGGGAACAGAATAGATCATCACAGCCACCATGGGAACAGAATAAATCATCCCAGCCACCATGGGAACAGAATAAATCATCCCAGCCACCTTGGGAACAGAGTAGGTTAAGGTCAAGCTGGCAAGAACAGCTTTGGGAACAAAATGCTCCTCCGTCAGGTCGATCACCAGACAATTGGGATCAGAATAATTCAGTGTCAGGCCGCCAGGAACAGGCTTGGGACCAAAATGCTCCTCCATCAAGTAGATCGGCAGATAACTGGGATCAGAATAATTCAATGTTAAGCCGGCATGAACAGACTTGGGAAGACGATCCTCCCATGTCAAGTAGATCAACAGACAATTGGGAGCAGAATAATTCAATGTCAGGCCGGCATGAACAGACATGGGAAGACGATCCCCCCATGTCAAGTAGATCAGCAGACAATTGGGAGCAGAATAATTCAATGTTGGGCCGGCGTGAACAGACTTGGGAAGGAGATATTCCTATGTCAAGTCAATCTGTAGACAATTGGGATGAAAGTAATTTAAAGCCAAGTCGACCAACACAAAGTTGGGAACAGAGTAGTTCATTGCTAAGTCGACCGGTACAAAGCTATGAGCATAGTACGTCATTGCTAAGTCGACCAGCACAGAGTTATGAACATAGTACATCATTGCTAATTCGACCAGCACCAAGCTGGGAACAGGGTTCTTTGCTAATTCGAACAGCACAGAGCTATGAACAGAGTACATCATTAATAAGTCGACCTGAACAGAGCTGGGAACAAAGTAGCTCGATGATAACCCGACCACCACCTTCGTGGGGGCAGAGTAACTCGGCAACAAATCGACAACCTACTGCTATTGGACAAGTTAATTCAATGACAAGTCGGCCACCGCCATCGCTGGGGCCAAACAATAGCATTTCAAGTAGACCACAGAACTGGAATCAGACAAGTTCACAGTCAAATCAACGAACACAAACATGGGACGAGGATAGGCATCTGATTGGCGAACAGACGCAACCCTGGACACAGAGTAATTTGACAAATCGACCAACGCAGGCCTGGCAGCAGGATAGCCTTTTAAAAAATCCACCAGCACAGGCTTGGACTAAAAAGAGCCAGGAGATGGATCGATATTCACAGTCCCGGCCAGAAAATAGCCCTGGTGGGAAGATGTCTAAAGCCCAACCTCCAGTGGCCTCTGAGGGCATGGCCAAGAATGTAAGTAGCCATGTTATATAGGGTTTACAAGTAGCATGTTATATAGGGTTTACAAGTAGCATGTTATATAGGGTTTACAAGTAGCATGTTATATAGGGTTTACAAGTAGCATGTTATATAGGGTTTACAAGTAGCATGTTATATAGGGTTTACAAGTAGCATGTTATTTAGGGTTTACAAGTAGCATGTTATTTAGGGTTTACAAGTAGCATGTTATATAGGGTTTACAAGTAGCCATATTATTTAGGGTTTACAAGTAGCCATATTATTTAGGGTTTACAAGTAGCCATATTATTTAGGGTTTACAAGTAGCCATATTATTTAGGGTTTACAAGTAGCCATATTAATCAGAGTTTAATTGCTTGTTTGGTTGTAAGCTTTTGTGTATCTTGGGTAGCTCAGAACAGCTTTATTCAACACCTTGTGTTGCTCAGGATACCTTTACTCAACACCTTCTGTAGCTCAGGATTCTGACTCATATCACATAAGAATGTGATTTACACCTGAGAAAATATTAAGGTCATGTGATGAATGTGAAGTTCTGGCAAGTCTGGTAGTGCTCTTGGGGGTGATACTTGGTAATCATATATATGATTACCAAGATACTTGGTTGGACCCATCATGGTTCAGTCAGTAGTGTGCGTCTGGGAAGTCCAGGGTTGCCCATCATATGGCCTCAATATTTTCTTGTCAGTTTATATCGAGAATAAAGCACTAGTCTAGTATGGCTGTAGTACTTGGGGGGGGGGGAAGGGAGATATAAGGACTGGAAAGGAGTTGGGATAAGAGGAAGTCGTGAAGGAAAGATGCCCAATCATTTAAACCAGTGGTGGTCAAACATCGACCATGTAGGAAGTGAAGCTGCTGCTCTGACCAGTCCAAATGGATGGAGAAATATAGTTTCAATATTAAAAAGCTACTTTAATTAGTATAGTAATTGTTTCTTTATGAATCCCTCAGGATCCACATAGAAGAATTACCCCTGTAAGATCACACTTCGGAATGAAATATATGCAGAAAATGGGCTGGATGCCGGGTGAAGGTCTCGGCAAGAACAAGGAGGGAATGATTGAGCCACTAATGCCTGAAGCCAATATGGACCTTCCAGGTGAGTTGTTTGTGTTTCTTAAGGAGACTCAGTCACCTTTACTCTAGAATAACTTTCAGATTTGTATTTTTTCTAATTTAGCCTTAAAACATAAGCATTGTTATTAAAAATTAAATTTAAAAAGTTTGAAAAATAATAATGAACACAACATTTTTCATTTAAAGGGTTTATTTTCTGGGAGGGTTCCTTTAATGGGGTTCGTGAACTGCCGGGCAAGTTCCACCCAATTCAATCCATGTCAGGCCCTTGTGAGGCATATATAAGCCAACCAGGGACAGTATCTTGGGCGTATCTTGCATTAGTTCCAAGGATCAACTTCCCTGCAGCTCGGTCTCTCATCAAACCTGGTTGTGGTCTGGTCAACCAGGTTGTTAGATGCAACTGCTCACAGCCCGGTTGATCAGGTATCATTTGGAAGTGTTTATCAAGTGTAAGTTATTATATATCTTGCCAGTGCATATCTTGTTTGTGGAAAAGTTCTTGTTATGCAACCTGTCATTTTTCAGCTGAGATGGCTCCTGACTACTAGGTCACTGGCAATAGTCCCTTGTGTGGCCCCTTGAAGCTCTCTTGCTGAGATGGCTCCCGACTACTAGGTCACCGGCAGTAGTCCCTTGTGTGGCCTCTTGAAGCTCTCTTGCTGAGATGGCTCCCGACTACTAGGTCACTGGCAGTAGTCCCTTGTGTGGCCCCTTGAAGCTCTCTTGCTGAGATGGCTCCCGACTACTAGGTCACTGACAGTAGTCCCTTGTGTGGCCTCCTGAAGCTTTCTTGCTGAGATGGCTCCCGACTACTAGGTCACCGGCAGTAGTCCCTTGTGTGGCCCCTGAAGCTTCCTTGCTGAGATGGCTCCCGACTACTAGGTCACTGGCAGTAGTCCCTTGTGTGGCCCCTGAAGCTTCCTTGCTGAGATGGCTCCCGACTACTAGGTCACCGGCAGTAGTCCCTTGTGTGGCCCCTGAAGCTTCCTTGCTGAGATGGCTCCCGACTACTAGGTCACCGGCAGTAGTCCCTTGTGTGGCCCCTGAAGCTTCCTTGCTGAGATGGCTCCCGACTACTAGGTCACTGGCAGTAGTCCCTTGTGTGGCCCCTGAAGCTTCCTTGCTGAGATGGCTCCCGACTACTAGGTCACCGGCAGTAGTCCCTTGTGTGGCCCCTGAAGCTTCCTTGCTGAGATGGCTCCCGACTACTAGGTCACTGGCAGTAGTCCCTTGTGTGGCCCCTGAAGCTTCCTTGCTGAGATGGCTCCCGACTACTAGGTCACCGGCAGTAGTCCCTTGTGTGGCCCCTTGAAGCTCTCTTGCTGAGATGGCTCCCGACTACTAGATCACATCAGTCACAGGAGTCTTGTTTGGCCTTCTTGAGACCAGAACCAGAACCTGGCCCGTCCCTCACAGGGGCGCGATGATTTCACGGACACCTCGACTCTGTGTTGGGATTTTGTGACCAGAGGCCACCAAACCAGCCAGGGTTGTTGATTTCTCCTTCATTGAGCGCACAGTATGGATCAGGACTTTGTGGGTGGTTTGGATTCCCTCCGGCTCCATGCTCCAGTTCCACTCGGACTGTTTCCCCATTGCCCCATTGTTCATTGTCTCAACTGGTGGGGGGAGGTCTCTTCAGTCCCTATCTCTTTGGAGCTGGATGCTACAAGTGGCCTGTCTCCTGGGTTCTCGGGGTTTGGCTCTCGCGCTGTTCATGTCCGGGGGAGTGTCCAACGTTCTTGCAGATGGTCTGTCTCAGTTCTGTTTTATTTCCACGGTATGGACTGTTGATGCGGCTTACTTATTTTGGCTTTGCAAGATTACAGGCACCCAGTTGTGAACCTCTTTGTGTCGGCCTGGAATCGGCAGTTTCCTTAGCAAGTGGTTTTGTTCCCCAATCGCGAGGCCCTTGTAATGGATTCCTTTCAGCTGGACTGGTTGAGGTGGTGGGGGGGGGGGCAGGTTCTGTACCTCTGTCTCCTGGTCTGGCTGTTGCTCCGGGTCCTGGCCAGGTTGGAGTCTTATCAGGGAAGGGTTATCCTGCTGGCTCCTTGGTGGCCGGCTCAGTCTTGGTTTCAGAAGCTGTTTACTCGGTGTCCAAACCAGGGCATTTTTCCACATCTCTGCCTTTATCAGGTCAGCCCAGTGATGTATTTTGCTGATTTGAACTTTTCCGTTCTTTGCATCTGATATTTTTTACACATATTTATCGGCATCTTTTTGGCAAGCGGGTGTTTTTTTTTATTGTGTTCCAACTTCGTTTCTCTTCTTGATGACAGCATGAGGCTTCATGACACTCTTTTTATCACTTTCTTCCCCTTTGTCGTTGTTCTTCGGTTTCTTGAGTGTGTGGTGCTCTACTTTCTTTCCTGGCTTTTACTTGATTGGCAGCTCATGCCGAATACAGTCGCCTCTTATCATGCAGTGCTGGCGGGGGCACTGCAACATGTGTTCGGGGGTTGATACTTTGTCGGCTCCGTTTTGCAAGCCGTCTCTCGAATTGTTTCCTTGGCGCACACACATGAAATGAAATACAAGTGACGACATTTCAGTCTGTTCTGTATAGGTCTCATGCAATTTAGTAGTGTTCAAACTGAGACTTATATCAGCGATCATTTGCAGGAGCCTATTATGCAGGGGGATGGCAATCAAAAGTTGGACAGCAAGTTCAGAAGCGGCCAAAGAAACTTACAGCTAAGGCTATTGCAGGTGAGTTGTGAAAATTGGTAATACACAAGGAAATCACAAGTGTGATATATCTGAAAATATTGAGGCCACATGATGGGATAGAACCCACATCCCTGGGACACAAGTCACTGCACTTGTGTTCATGTGTCTGTGGTGATCAGGAATGCGGGTTTGAGCCCATCACGAACCTTCAATATTTTGTCAATTTTGTTATAATGAATTGTTTTCTGAAAGATACTCTGACAAAGCTGTAGTAACTCAAAACTTACAGGATTTCCATAGTTCAAATTGTAATGATAAATGATTTCACTTCAGGCAAGCACCCAGTCTCGGCTGTGATTGAGCTGTGTACAAATCGCAATTGGCCGGCACCCATTTTTGAGGTGATCTCCGAGTCTGGCCCAGTTCACAAGAAAATGATTATCATGAAGGTTAGTGTTTGCTAATGTATCCTGGAGGAATATTGTTGCGTGTTTAGTCTTCTGTCTTGTTTTCTTTAGATATTGTACTTGCACATCTCTTGTTGTTTTATGTCACAGTTTCTTATTGTTTGGGACAGGAAGCCTGTCCCAAACAATAGTCCCAAGATGAAGTCCCACTAAGACAACTACTGGTCTATTACAGCATGCAAACCACAACAGTTTCCTTACACTCTAGGTACCAATTTGCTGCTAGGTGAACAGAGACACCAGGTGTCAGGTCCCCTTAGGCTACCTACTGACCTTCCTCATGATGCAACCTACAACACTTGACTAACTCCAGAATACCAATTTGTTGTTAGGTGAACAGAGGCATCAGCTGTAAGGAAACTATTAAAATGCTAGTCATTGCACTGATTGGGAAATGAATTGAAATGAATTGTAATGAATTCATTATAATGAATGAAAGTGAATTATTTCAAGATGTAGCTGGACAAATTCTTGCAGAAGGTGATGGATCAGCAGGTTATAGTGGATATGTGGGACTGCTGGCCACCAGCGCAGTCAACAGCCTGACAAAGTTAGTTGTCACCAAACAAATCTGGCCTCAGGCTGGGCTTAGAGAACAGAACTCCTGAAACTGACAGTAGGTAAACTACAGACAGGAGGCAACTTACTTCTGGCCCATGTCATTTGCATACCATGTAAGGAGATGGAGAAAATCTTAGGAAAGAGATTATTATAACATTTGGAGATAAGATTCCATTCACCTGGGCTGTAGGAGTCTCAAACCGTGGATCCCATGCGTGTGAGGCCCAAGTTCTGAGGAAGAACAGGGATGTCAAATTCTACCTCACAAATCCAATTCAATGTTAGATCTGGCAAGACAAAGAAATGGGCAGACTGCTTATTTTTGGACAGTTAGCAGCAGTAGGCTGCTGCTCTATGCAGCAGCCTGTTGGATCAAATGATCACAAGTCAAACCTGGCCCTAAACCAGGCTTGGGAAATAGAGGAACTCTTAAGAACCCTCTTCAAATATACTCCCAAACCATTGTTCAACAGACAGTGCACAGTCTCTCCAGAACATCTTGTAGTTTCTATCTTCCACTGTAATTATTTTTTCATTATTTTTGCATTATCAGCAAACTTTGAAAGTAAGAAGCCTATCCCACCTGGGAAATCATTTACGTATATCAGCCCACCTGGGAAATCATTTACGTATATCAGCCCACCTGGGAAATCATTTACGTATATCAGCCCACCTGGGAAATCATTTACGTACATCAGCCCACCTGGGAAATCATTTACAGTGGAACCTCTATTAACGAGTGGCTCTATTAACGAGTTTTTCCAGTAACGAGCAAGCCACTCGCAGCAAATTTGTCTATTGACGAGCTCGCCTCTATTAACGAGTGAAACCACATGGCGCTTCCTAGCGTCTCGCGGGTTCTCGCAAATTCTCGGACGCCTCCGACGCCAGTGTTGTTGTTGTATCTCACACGACAAGCATCCCTTTGGATTTATTTGCGCTTTTCTTTGTGTTTTTAGTGGTTTTGTGACTACAATTTGTAACGCACGATGTCTCCAAAGAAGCTGCTTGCTAAAGATAGTGTTGTCAAGAGGAAGAAAGACACACTTACTGTGGATTTAAAGAAGGAAATTATAGCAAAGCATGAGTGTGGTGTCTGTGTGATTGATCTCACAAGGAAGTATGGCAGGTCCTCATCAACAATTTACACCATTAGTAAGGGAATGAGGAGGTAAGGGAGGATGCTGCCTCTTCCACTGAGATCAGGGAAGTGTTTGGAATGTTTGAAAAGGTGAACGCATTCTTGGAAAAGCTGCCCTGATAAAGCAGTGACTACCCGGTGTGTGAAAATGTTTAATTAATTTATCACTTTGTGATAACACTTTATGAAAGTGTTATCACTTTCGCAGGTATATGTCGCTTGAACGTAACACACTTTTTTTCTATTGAATGCACCCAAACACCGCGCTCAAGCGTCATTTGAGCAAATATTTCTATAAAATCCAATTCTTATCCGATCGACTTGGGGATTGTATACATGTTTGCCATGAAATTTCCGTTTTCTTTAATAACCACATTGCCTATTTGAGAAAACGGCATTGTATTGTATCTTCGTGGGAAGACTATTATATTGTTGACACAACGAGTGTAATCAACGTAGTTTTTTATTTGGTGCTGGTCTAACGCATCCTTGTGTGACATTTGAAATGAAATTTGGGTGAAATTCCCAAGAAGAGAGAGTCCGCCTGACTCAGAGGTGGATTCTCCTTCCACACCATAACCCCCTCTCCTTCCCACCTCTCCATCGTCTCCCTCAAGCCAGCAACTACTCTTCATAAGGTAAAGTAAATATTAAAACACTACAACAAAACATTTATATTTACATGTGCAGTATTATATTTACATAAAAAAAGTCATACAAGTATGGATGTTTTTGGGAGTGGAACGGATTAAATTTATTTCCTTTATTTTAAATGGGGAAATTTGTTTCCAAAGACGAGTTTTCCAGGTAACGAGCTCGGTGCCAGAACGGATTAAACTCGTTAATAGAGGTTCCACTGTACGTACATCAGCTCACCTGGGAAATCATTTACGTACATCAGCCCCCTGGGAAATCACTTACGTACATCAGCCCACCTGGGAAATCACTTACGTACATCAGCCCACCTGGGAAATCATTTACGTACATCAGCCCCCTGGGAAATCATTTACGTACATCAGCTCACCTGGGAAATCATTTACGTATATCAGCCCACCTGGGAAATCATTTACATATACAGTATCAGGATCAATAAAAGTCCTGGTACTGATCTCTGTGAGACTCCACTGATAACTCTCACTACACTGAAATATCTTTTCGCAATGGCTCAGTCTTTTGCCGCTTATATACTTATTTATCCACAGATTGGAAGGGGGTTTCTTGACTATTTTGAAATTACTGCAATGGGGTTAATGTTTGCCTCTAGCACAGTCAAATTGTTCTGTGTTCGAGGTTGAAGTGACCAACCACTTGGGGTGGACGATAGAGCGAGGGGTCTCACTCCATGCAGGTCGGCGTTCAATCCCTGACTGTCCAAGTGGTTGGGCACCATTCCTTTCCCATTCCCCCGTCCCATCCCAAATCCTTATCCTGACCCCTTCCAAGTGCAGTCGTAATGGCTTAGCACTTTCCCCATATAATTCCCTCCCTTCCCACCAGGTTCAAGCTCATGTTTTGAAGACTAGATGTTTGGCCGAATGTTACAGGATATGCAATGTTTTCCTAGACACCTGGTAACATGTTGATCTTGTTTAGAGGCTCAACTTTGTCTTGGTTGAATGTTTGCAACTGATCAAATGAAATTATTAATGGCTAGAGAATGTTTGCAAATGTGAATGTGTGATGGTTTCAGATCAAAATAACTGCACATGTAAAGAATACATTGATTAATGAATTAAACTATAACAAGATTCAATATTTAATTTGTGACAAATTTGTGGATCACATATTATCAGTTTAAAATTAGACTGCAGTAAGGTTGCAAAATAATATTTCCATATCCATGGCATTTTATCTCTAGTGTTAAGGGCTATAAATATTGCATGCAATATTTATAATCTAAGTACCGGGTACAGCTGGGATTATCTTTTAATTGGTTTACTCATCACAGCTGAATCAATTGAACACCTGAAATATTTTGTTGAACTATCTGATGAAAGAATTACAGTCATAAATTTTGTGCTTATTTTATTAGGTGACTGTTCTTAGTCGTCACATTTGGATCAGTTCAGCTAATTAAAATTTATTGTGTACTTCATGATGGAAAAGTTGTAGCTACCTTGTGGCTACCTTGTGTAGCTTCCGGGGATCAACAGTCCCGCAGCCCTGGGTCTGACCAGGCCTCCCAGTTGGTCGTCTGGTCAACCAGGTTGTAGGACGCGGCTGCTCGCAGTCTGACGTGTGAATCACAGCCTGGTTGATCAGGCATTCTTCGGAAGTGTTTGATAAGTTCGAATGAATGAATAAATTTGTAATGCATGAATTTTGTACATATTTTTGCAGGTGACTGTAAATGGGCGCGCATATAAACACAAGGAAGAAGTGGCTTCCAAGAAGGTGGCAAAGGCAGAGGCGGCCAAGATATGTCTACAGTCCCTCGGACTAATGCCCAAGCCCAAGAAAGCTCCGTAGTCACTCGTAAACGATGGTTAGTTTTGATTATATTTGTGAGAGATGGAGCAGGGTTATGTCTAGGAAATTATATGATTACTTATTGGCAATTTCAAGAGCTCTACTGCTGCAGCCTTGCCTGTGGCAACCCGCCCTGGTGGTGTGTTGCCAGTAGAATGATGAACTATTATAAAAAAGAATTCATATGATGTTTATTACAAAATGATTGTTCTTCTATTGAAATGAAAATTAACATCGAGCAGAATGTGTATTGCCATCAAGCATTGTCAGCTTCTCCAATTGATTGTTTTATAAATTAACTTCACTAATAGGTACTTAGAGATTTATGCACTTTAGTGAGGCGATGAGTCACCTTGACGTGGCTTAAGATATGATGACCACTCCACACATCAGAACATGAAGAAATGACAACGTTTTTGTCCGTTCTGGACTATCATCAAGTCGTGTGTGTAACATCGTCGTTGCTTCATCATCTGGTGTGTGGTGTGGATATCACTTTAGTGAGAAATTTTAATCCTCTGAGCAAATATTGACAATACAATGTTGATTTAACATTGAATCAACTTGGTAATGTTGATAACATTGATCCAACATTGAACCAATGTTAGCAATGTTTAACATTGATAGCATTGATCCAACATTGCATCAATGTTGCTGATGTTAATCCAACATTAGATTAATGTTGATAAAGTTAATCCAACATTGATGATGCTGATCCAACAGTGCATCAACGTTGATAACGTTAATCCAGCATTGAATCAATGTTGATAACATCATTTCATATTGAATCAACATTGATAGCATTGATCCGCATTCCATCAACATTGAATCAACATTGATCCAACATTGAATCAACGTTGATCCAACATTGAATCAACGTTGATCCAACATTGCATCAACGTTGATCCAACATTGCATCAACGTTGATCCAACATTGAATCAACGTTGATCCAACATTGCATCAACGTTGATCCAACATTGAATCAACGTTGATCCAACATTGCATCAACGTTGATCCAACATTGAACCAACGTTGATCCAACATTGATAACATTGATCCAGCATTGAATCAACATTGATAATGCTGATTAAACATTGAATCAATGTTGATAAGATTGATTGAATGTTGCATACGTATGTTTTACCCGCTGGCATGCCACGTAATGTAGGAAGTAGATAAAGACTTGTGTACAATGTCTCGTGTTTTTGTCCTGTTGTCCCCATTAGTTACTGGCTTCTGTTGGCCTCCATGACCGTCCATACAGTATGAGTACGGTACCACCCGTGGTACGTTTACCACGACCACCCGTACGGTACGATTATGGTACGATATCTTACCACGCCGTACGATGTAGGAGCTAAATGGCTTGCCGGGTTTTCTGGAAAAATAGAATTGTTTTATATGCTGAAAATTCTTTTGAGAGAGTTATTATGACATTTCATTTAACTTGGTAACAAATTATAAAATTGAAGCTTTGGCTACATTGATGCCTTCATGATTCATCAATCATGGAGAGACACATTGATACTATCATGATTGATCAACTATGGGGTTCCATATTGATGCTATCATGATGTGTCAATCATGGGTACCCACATTGATGTCATCATGATTGATGAACCATGAGGCCCACAGTAATGCCATCATACTTGGTCATCCATGGGGATCCACATTGATGAAATGATGATTGGTCCCAATGGTCAACCTTTGGGACCCATGTTGATGCCGTTATGGGGATACCATTGATGCCGCCAATGTGGGTCCATCATGGTTGTCCATGGGGACCCTCGTTGATGCAGTCATGATTCATAAACCATGTGAACCCAGATTTAAACATGGGAACCAACATGATGCCATCATGATTGTATGGCTGTATATGACATTGTATGGCTGTATATGACATTGTATGGCTGGTAAGCTGCATTGCGTGATTGTGATGTATGTGTCGTTCTATATGTATGTGTGTAAAGTGACACTTGCGTTAAAGGTGTCGGTTGATTATCTACGGCATAAATGAAAATTAAAATATAATTTTTTTATAAATTTTGAGTGTGATTTGTGGAATGAATCTGCTGTATGGAGAGGGAGTGCTGTCAAATAATTAAACCAGTCAATCATGTAGATCCATTGAGGTTAAAAAAAAAATTGAAAAAGGAGCATACCAAGAGATTGGTGCTGTACAAAAATAATCTTGGAAATAAATAAAGGCATAAGGAGAATAATGAATACAAAATTGAAAATGGGAAGCTGTTTTATATGTAAGTGAATGGGAAAAACAAAAGAAACCATGCAGGCAGGTTTATATGTAAAGTTATGAGAAACTCAGAAGGTGGAGGATGTACTGTATTTTGAGTCCATAAATGGTAAGATAAGATAATGTTTATTCAGGTAAAAGTACATACATTCAAATTGAGTTACAAACATAATATTGGATTTCTAGATGGAGCTAGTACATACTATGCCTAAAGCCACTAATACGCACAGCATTTACGGTACGGTGAATGATGGCATTGAT